TTAAGGACTTCCAGCCTCCACCACTGTGAGCTAATAAACCTCTGTTCTTAATAAGTCGCCTGGTGTCTGGTGTTTAGTTGCAGCAACAGAAGACAGACCAGCCCAGCGGCTGCTGCCTGGGCGCTCTGCCCACCTGCTGCAGCTGAACTGACCTTGGGGTTGGTATGTTGGGGCACTGGCCCCAGAGGGCTGGCATTTGGAGGCGGGGGTCTTTGGGAGGGGAGTTAGTCAGTTTATTGGTACTAAATCAACACTCTTGAGATAATTCACTTAAAAAGAGAGAAGGTTTGTGCCAGGCTGGGCACAGTGGCACACACCTGTCATCTTAGCAACTTGGGAGGCCAAGGCAGGAGGATCCCAAGCTCGAGGCCAGCCTAGGGAACATAGTGAGACCAGAAGGAGAAACATGACAGTTCCAGAGACTCCGTCTCAAAATACCCATTAAAAGGGGCTGGGAATGTGGTCAGCGGCAGCCCTGGGTCCTGTCCCCAGCCCTGCAGAAAACACAGTAAAATAGAAACAAGCCTCACAGCTTTAGACCCACAGGAGTGGGTCCCAGGCTCCATCCCACCGTGACTCCACCCCGCCCCAGGCCAGGCCACCCGACCCTTCCCTCCGGGGCCGGAGCTCTCCCGGTGCTTCCCAGGTCCTGAGACCCTTGACTCAGCCAAGCTCCCTGCCTCCCAGGTCTCCAGCCTGAGCCTCTCCCCCGGCAAGCCCTGGCTGTTTCGCTGGCTCACACAGGTCCCCCTGCTGGCCGGGCTCGGAGGTGAGAGCACTTGGGCAGCTGCCCTCTCTGACCCTCAGTGTCTTCTTCTGCAAGATGGCGCAGTGCCTGAGTGCAGTATCTTGGCCCACGGGAGGAACGTGCTCAGAGACGGCTGGCACTGCCAACTGTGTGTCCATTCGGGAGAGCAGGGGCGCATGCTCACACGCCCCCCCACCAGGGACACCGGACGTGCTGGGGTGGACTGTGGGCACGGCGCGTGCCCTGCTCCTGCCACCAGAGGCACGCGGCTGTTTGCACTTAGGTGAACGGAAGTGAAAGGAGATTCAGCTTTTGGTTCTTGGGTCGCCCCAGGTCATTTTGAGCACCCGGGAGCCGCGGGTGGCCAGCAGCCGCCCTGTGGCCAGCCAGGACCCGGCACGTGCCCACCACCACGCGCCAGTGCTCTGGAGGGCGAGGGCCCGGGCTTCCTGGACACGGGGACATTTGTTGTCACAACTGGCCTGGAGGAGGGGCAAGCCCAGGACACCACCCGGGGCAGGTGCAGCCGCGTCCCCGGCGCGGGGCAACGCGACCCTGTTTATGGGACACTCAGGCGGCCCTGCCCGGGCAGGCTCCAGAGCAGCCCCCAGGCGGCAGCCCGGACGGGAGGCTCTGCCTGACCGCCCGCCCCTGCCCGGCTCCAGGGCTCTGGGTGGCCGCACCCAGGACCTCCCGGGGCAGGACCGCAGGACACGGGATCCCTGCACCCAGGGGTTCTCCACTGGGGCCCCTCTGTCCCCAGGAGACGCCGCGGCATGTCTGGGGACACCTGAGTTTGTCGCCACACGCTGGGTTCTTGTGCTGAACTCGGTGAAAACGGAAAGCTGCCCTGGCCAGGCCTCAGCGGCCGCCGCGTGGGGTGGCACCCAATGAAGACTGGCCACCCTGGCGGAAAGTGAGGGCCGCCTGCGGGGTCCGGGGGCAGCAGCCCCGACCCTGCCCTCTGGGAGCTAAACTGCAGGGCCACTTGTGTCCACAAGGGGGCAGCCCCGTCCCAGGATCCCCCACCTCTGGAGCGCAGGTGGCGCCGTCCCCTCCTGGGCACGGGTCCCAGGCAGCTGCCCCTGTGGGCTGCACGCGGAGCCCCTCAGCCCCCTGAGCTGGGGTAGGCCAGCATCCTCCTGGCCCTGTCCGCCTCTGGGGCTGGACCTTCCTGAGAGGGCACCCGGGGCCTCTGTTTCCCTGGGGAGAGGCTGAGGAAGGAGGATGGCGGTTGGAGGCCAGCTGTGACAGCGAGACCCTGCCTCAAAAGAAAGTAGTGGGGGCTGGGGTGGAGCTGGGTGGCCAAGGCCCGGGGGTCCTGCCCGGTGCTGTCCCTGAGGCCCCTGGCTGCCCCCCTGCACCTTATCTGCCAGGCCGGCCGGGTGGGGGGACGGGCCACCCCGGACCCACACTGCCACGGCAGCTGCCGAGGCCGAGTCCTCCCCTGGTCTCTCCCCGGGAGGCCGGGGGCGGGCGGGCGGAGCCCTGGCCAGGCTCCAGGTGGCCTCAGGAGTCAAAGAACAGCCCCACTTCTGCAGCCGTCCCGGGGTCGCAGGGCGCCGCTGGCCACGCTGTCCACGTGGCCTCCCCGCCGGGTCCGGCCGCCTCCGCCACCACTTTACTGCCCGCTTCAGATAAAGGGTGACCGAGGGTGACGAGATGGGAAGCCCCAGCCCCAGCCTGGAGTGCGGGCTCGGGCCCAGCGGGCGACGGGCCAGGCCCGTCAGAGGCGGGCGGTGGCCCGCCCAGCGCGGGTGGGACCGGGGTCCGTCCTCCGCACCCTGCAGAACGACAAGTGAAGTAGAGCTGCCGTCCCCACGGCTGACACATGGACACTGCCAGAGTCATCAGAGAGGATGACGCTGGGGCTGGGTGCCCGCCTGGCACGCGGAGGCCGCTCCCTCCCAGCGGCAGGCGAGGGCGACGGAAGGTCACCGACGGGGGGCACACAATGGCAGCACCTTTGGCCCACGGGCGAGAGCCGCTGGGGGGGAAGGCGGCGCCTCAGCCGGTCATCGCCGGGCACCGCAGGGCTCTGGGGAATCCCGCTGCCCAGGACATCCAGGAGTGACCCTAAGCGTCCTGAGCGTCAGTCTCTCACAGTGAGGCACCTGGCCTCCTGCCCCACTCTGAGAGGCCGTGGCTGGGTTGCTGAGGCCGCCCCCGGGACCGGCTCCGAGTCCCCACTCACTGGGACGACGGGCCTGCGGGCAGCTGGTCACCAGGACAGGACAGCTGGCTTGTGGACAGGGTGCCCGTACACTCCGGGGTCCACGGGT